GTTCTTGAACTGAAGTCAAGTGAAAGATTAGGCTGGCTAGTCCCTGCATGGTTGTTCCCCTTGTGTTGATTCAAGCTCATGGAGACTGCAGCAAGGGAAGGATCCAATTGTTGCATAGTGTCTTAAAGGCTGTGACCTTTTAGAATTAGATTGCCAGGGTTGTCTTTGAGGTGCCTCTGTATATATTTAAACTGCCCAGTTTTTATTTAACCATTTACTCTTTCCAAGAACCCTGGTACATACCTCATTGCACATAAAAGTACAGTAACAACAACGCTGATAATGATAACAATAGTAATAAAATATAAAGTGTGTGTAGCGTGTTTTAAGTTCTTTTCACATATTCAGTTTTCAAAACAATTCTGCCAAGTGGGTTGTATTATCTCCAGTCTTTTTAGCATGAAAGCATTTTGTTTTCTGAATGGAATTTAATTTTTTTGAAAAAACATTTACCACCATCAAATGGTACAGCTAGGATTTAAGGTGTGACCCGTCTGATTCTAAAGCCCGTGAAAATTTCGTGGACTCTTCTATTGTCACTCTTGCTTGACATTCTAGGTGTTGTGGTTGTAAATTCAGATACTTAGGTATGCTGTTGAAGGTATATTTGGGTAGACATTAATATTGTGAATGTTGATTTTCTAAAACCTGCTGGATTCTCTTCTCTGTACCTATTGGGCTCTCAGCACTCTTACGCTACAGCTAACTGAGCTTCTTTAACTCTTCAGGGGCCTGGCTCCTCAGTAAAGAGTATATCTTTCTATCTGACCTTTGGATTTCCTTCCTCTGCTTTCTACATGCCTGGCCTGAAAGACTTTTTGGTCTTGGTGACCACTTTAGACTCTAGTTACTCCATAATTGATTCTATTTTCTGATACATTCATTAAGGAAATATTTCTTGATCTATTTCACTCACTGCCATCCAGTTGATTCCCATTCGTAACGGGTTTCTGAGACTGTAACTCCACAGGAGCAGAAAGCCTCATCTTTGTCCTCAAGAGCAGCTGGTGGTTTCTAGCTGCTAACCTTGTGGTTAGTAGCCCAGCACGCAACCCACTACACCACCAAGGCTCCTATTTCATCTCCAGCCAGTTACTAAGGTGAATGAAGCTCAGCTTTCTTCCCTTATGCTCCTAACTGCTTATCTGAAATTTTTGTTTTGTTTTTTAATATGCATCATGCTCTTGTAGGCTGATAGTAATCCTCAATATGGACTTTATTAGATATCTTCCTACCTCCTTTCCATAGAAGTAAGAAAGAAAGGTTCTAGATGCTTACCAAGCTTCTCTAGATCCTAAAACTAGTAAATAACTAACAGTTATTGAACCCTTGTCTTATAACAGGAGACCTAGTGATGCAGTGGTCACACATTGGGCTGCTACCTGCAAGGTCAGCAGTTTGAAACCACCAGGTGCCCCTCAGAAGAAAGATGAAGATTTCTACTCCTGCAAAGAGTACAATCTGCATTTCTACTCCTGTAAAAAGTGTCAGAAACTCACAGAGGCAGTTATTCCCAGTTCTACAGGGTCACTATGAGTCAGAATTGAATCGCTGGCAGTGAGTTCTCTCGCATAACATCTTCCCCAGGCTTCTGCATAATGCATCCCACCTGAAATCTGCATTATGTGTCCTTAAGACATCATTTCCTGGAGCTGAGCAGCATTTCCTCTGCACCTTCCGAAGACTGAGAGGGATACATGGATCTTCTTTCAAAGCTTCTACCTCTTGTCAGAACTCAAAGTTCAAGTCCTTTCTCTGAGAGAAATTTTCCTTTTAAGATCATTTGTAAAACACACCAAACGTATCTGAATCCTAGTTAGAAACCACCTCGTTTTATTTATTTCCTATGCAACTTTCTGAGGAATGGAATATCATAATTTATTATATCAAAACAAATTCACAATTTGGTAACCATACTGAAGTGATAGTTTTCATCAAAAACCAATAAAACTAGAATTTAAGCTCAAATACAATGCCCTCCACTGATCTTGGATCTTATTATTTATAATCCTTGGATCACACAAGCTGGCATATTACTTCTTTGTGGACTTAGTTGACACCTCAATTACAGGGCTGCTTATTTTAAGGCAAGCCATTAAGACGCCAGACACTATTCTTTCTGATAGCCAGATACCATCTGATTTCTTCACCACACTTTCTGAGCACCTGGGTCATAGAAGGCTAAGGATGACAGTGAAAGCCCAAAATCCATTTGCAGAGTTCCCAAGTGAATTAAGCCTCCATTGAATTTCCTTGCACCACTGACCAGGGATATGAATAGTTTTGCCCTCAAACACGGTGCATTGGAAATGGATTACTGCAGATAGAGCTAGGTCATCTGTTTTTCCTTTTGACCCATTTTTAATTTGTTTTGGCTTCTATTATCTGCTTTCTCTTGGGTTGAAGTTTTCTCCGTTTTAATTATCTATTGTTCTTTGGGCTTTCTATGATTTTCTGTATATGCAACTCAGGGTTCATAAATCAATAGAGTCAGTACTAGATTAACAGTTCCTTAGGGTTATGGCAGGGTAGTGGGAAGCAAATAATAATGAGTACCAGAATGAAGAAAAAGCCCTAAATATGATTGGGTGATGATTGCACAACTTTTAAAATGATATTTAAATCATTGGATACTATGGTACACGATGTATATGTCAATAAGATTGTTTTAAAAAAAACCAGTGGAACCTATATGCTTTAAAAGCAGGGAGATGGGGGTGTTGAGCAGGTCTGAGATTTGAAATCAGTTTGAAATTTTATTTTCTTAGATTGAAGTTAAAAAATTAAGCATTCAAGAAACAGGAAATATGCCTGGAATAATCAGAAAGCAAAGATAGCTCAATTGCCTGAACTAGAACTTTGTTGAAATATTTGTTTCCTACTTAAGAAAACACACACATCCATGCACACACAGAGAGGAAAGTGCATCTTGAAAAGAGAAGACCCCAAAGCAAACTGTATCTTCACTGACGGAGGACGACTACATCCACAGTGCGATGGCAGTTACTCTACGTGCATACCACCGTCCCACTCCAGGAGTGACTCCAGTTCCACAGGAAACCTCTACTCTGGTCTAGTTCTAAAAATCAAATCCCCACTGTCTAAGGGGAATATTTTTCAATGTATGGCCCACCACAGTGCAAATCTCAACTACAAGTCTATTAATTCAGTGTTTACTGAGATCCTCCTATCCGCCCAGCTCTGTTCTGGACACCATAAGATGTTTCAAAGTAGTCTTTGCGCTCTAGAATGTGAAAATCTACCATGGAGGACTATACAGCGAGACGTAACAGGGATTAATTGTGGGTGTTAGGTGCTGCAGATTTGGCTCTCTCATAGCAAAATTATGTACACACTGACACATTGCCATGCCCTGTACCCTCATCATAATTATGAATATGTGTGAGCCCCTTCTTGCAGCCAGTATGTTAATCCATCTCATTTGACATCTTCTTCTTTGTCACTGCTCCCGTACTTTACCAACTATGATTTCTTTTCCAAGAATTGGTTTTGCATATTAACATGTCCCAAATACGTGGCTGTGACTCTGAGCATCCTTGTATCTGAGGAGCATTCTGGCTGTACTTCTTCCACGACAGATTTGTTTGTTCTTTTGAACGTCCATAGAACATTTAATATTCTTTGACTAGATCCTAATGCATCAATTCTTTGGTGGTGCTCCTCTTTCATTGTCCAACTTACACATGCATAGAAGGTGATTAAAAATACCATGGCTTGGATGAGGCACACCTGAGTCCTCAAAGTGCCTTCTTTGCTTTTCAACATTTTAAAGAGATCTGTGCTGTAGATTTTCCCAATGCAATGCAAAACTTTGATTTCCTGACTGCTGCATCCTTGAGCATTGACTGTGTTTCCAAGCAAAATGAAATCCTTCACAACTTCAACCTGTTATTTATTTATCATTTTGTACCATTATGTCCACTGGGGAGGATGTTGGTTTTTGTTACATTTGAGTTGCTATCCATACTGAAAGCTGCAACCCTTGATCTTCATTAGCAAGTGCTTCAAGTTCCCTTTTCTTTCAGCCGGCAAGATCTTGCCATCGGCATATTGGAGATCGTTAATAAGCCTTCCTCCAAACCTCGTGCCATGTTCTTCTTCATATAGTCCAGTTTGTCAGATAATTTGCTCCACATACAGACTGAATAAGTGAGACAAAAGGATATAAACTTGACAAGCACTTTTCCTGATGTTAAACCACACAGTCTTTCTTCATTCGGTCACAATTGCCTCTTGGTCCATGTACAAGTTCCACATGAGCACAATTAATTGTTCTAAAATCCACATTCTTTTCAATATTGCTCATAGTTCTTATGATCCACGCAGTTAAATGCGTTTGCATAGTCAATAAAACACAGGTAAACATTTCTGTCGTATTCCTGCTTTGAGCCAAGATTCAGCTGATGCCAGCATTGATATCCCCATCCTCCTCTGAATCCAGCTTGAATTTCTCAAAGCTCCCTGTTGATGTATTACTGCAACTGTTGTTGAATTGTCTTCAGTAAAATTTTACTTGTATGAGGTATTAGGCTATTCTTTGTTCATTTCCACCCTCTGTCGGGTCACCTTTGCTTGGAATAGCCACAAAACTAAAACTCTCTAAGTTGCTTGTCCAGGTAAGAGTTTATCTGAATTTGTTGGTGAAGGCAGGTGAGTGTTTCCTTTGTTTCATCAGGTTGCTGAAATAATTTAATTGCTATTTCATCAATTGTTGTTGTTGTTGCTGGGTGTCGTCGAGTTCTGACTCATAGATACCCTGTGTACATTGACCATTGCTTC